AAAAATAAAAATAAAAATAAAAATAAAAATAAAATCTTGGGAGTAAGAATGTTTGTGAAAGGACGAGCAAATCTGAAACGCTCGCCGGCCGCCTTCTCCGTCGAGGGCACGATTGCCCCTTTTTCCCCCGAATACAACGCGCCCTAATTATGAATGTATCCAGGTGCTTTTTCCGGTCCGATACACTCATGAAGAAAGCTCGTTGTTTTCGGCGGGAGACCGGTCGGCCGCGAGGGCGTTCTAATCAGTCTTTTTTCTCGTTTTACCGTTTGGCGGGGAAATGTTGGCAATCTTCTTTTTTTTTTTTTTTTTTTTTTTTTTAATCAACGGGGCGGAGTTGGTTCTGGTCAAGCTAACTTCGAAGTGCTTGCCGGCGCTTCCTGCCAAAAAAGGCAGAAAAAAGACGAGAGGATTGGTATGAACCCCCCAAAATAGGAATGTGGGGTTTCGCGGGAAAACCGTGCTTTTTGTGATCTTGCGGGTTTCAGTGTTCGCTGAAAAATAATTATGGACCGCCATAACATCCGACTATGTATCTGGACAGCGATCCGCACAAGATACATTCAGCCTGATCAAACGTTTCGAAATGTATTGGGACCATGGCCAGCTCAAAGTTCTTGCGCGGCTTTCAGTGCCCGTTGAAGAATAATCATGTACCTTCCAAAACAGGAAATTCAGAGAAGAATATAGTATTATTGAAAAGCCCAGATAAAAAAAAAAAGCCCGGATAAAGAAAAGAGCAAAAAAAAAAAGCCCAGATAACAGGCCTCGATCCACCACTCACCACATCCACGAAAGAGAAAAAATTATGGCTCTGTATCTTTCCATGTTCTAGCGGAAGATCCATTCTCATTTTGCCCATTTGGTTCTAGTGGTGGAACCGGGCCCAGTAAATCACGGCCGGAGCTGAGTCGAAAAAGTCACGCTGAGGGCGTACTCACACTGGCACTTTTCCAAATGTATCTGACCGCAATTACGGCCGTGCGTGGATGCATCTGACTGCAATCACGTCCGGAGCTGAGTTGAAAAAGTCCTAGTGTGAGTATTCCCTGAGGGGGTAAAGAAAAACGGACGGAAAGGGGCAAAAAGGGGAAGAGGACAAAACTCCACACTTGTTGGTTGAGCTTTCAGTGAAGTTGGGGGGGGGGGGGGGGGTCTAGCAGCTCACAGCGTCTGGGGCGCGGGATAATCACACTATGAACTTGGCATGAATGCGCGGCCAGATGCATCAATGGTTGTCATTCTGTGATGATGACTTGGATGAGAGATAACCCCACCGCTTCTCAATCTGTGCTTGGTTGTGGGGTTATATTCCCCAAGCCTGCAACCCCCTCCCTCCCTCCCTCCCTCCCTCCCTCTCGGAACTCCCTCGCTCTCTTCCTTATCTTCCATTGCACCCCTAGCGCTTCCCGCAATGCTCCATGTGGAATAGGCGGTAATTCTTTTTTTTTTTTTTTTTAATGTATTTTTATTTCTTAAATGGGCGCCTATTATCTGATGCGAAGAATGCTGAGGGGAATTTCTCCTCGCTTGACCTGAGGGGTCTGTAGACTCTGTACCCTAACCTCTTTGAGTATTATGTAATAATTATATATATTTATATTATATGAACTCTGTGACTAAATGTAGTACCACTACTCTTCTCTCCCCGATCATAACGCTTCCATCATCATGACTGTATTTGGACTGGAGCAGGGTCTGTGTACATTCCTTATGATGGGGGTTTATGATCAGGGGAAGAGGGGTGGCGAGTCTTATGTATATTAATATACCATCCGTGTTTGTCTGGGCCCAGTTTGGGCCCATCCATTAATTTGGGGCCTCCTCCGTGTGCCTGCCCTCTTTCACCTCCCTGTTCCTTCCTATCTTCTTCTCCCAAATACAATGCCCTGTAATCATACCTGTATCTGGACTGAAAGTTGCCACAGGTACACAGCTGTAATGACCGCGCTTTCAATTCGGTGGAAGACGGTAGCTCTCCCTTCTCCCTTTCTCTCAACTGCCTCTCGCTGCTTTCTTCCTCTTCCTCCCCCAGATCGTTGTCGCTAGACGGTTTCCTCTTTTTCTTTTTTTTAATTGCCCCAAGGGTTTTGTTGTTACTTGGGCCAAAAAAAAAAAAAAAAAACCAAAAAAAACACAAGGGTTTTGTTGTTACTTGGGCCAAAAAAAAAAAAAAAAAACAAAAAAAAACACTTGGGTCAATTCCTCCCTCCTGTGGAGGTGATGGTGACAACCCTGTTTTGGCTGTTTTTGGGATATCGGCCAGATGGTGTCCTCAAAAAAAAAAAAGAAAAAAAAAAAAGCCCCCAGGGGTTTTGTCGTTACTGATGTGGAGGTGCTGGCGACGACCGTCTTTTGGTCGTTTTCCTTTAACCGAAAGGATATTGGCGGAGGTGATGTAAGGCCACCACCTCTCCATGCTTCGCCGCCTGCTCCCTGTGGCTCTCTTCTTCCTCCCTTGTTCCCGCCATACCCTTGCATTGCTGGGATCTCTGTCGCTTTCTGTTTGTCACGGTCATCTGGTGGGTTGCATTGCTGGAATCTGTATTGTCCAGACAGTAAGACGTGAGGATTCCATTGCATGACCGCAGACCACCGTCTTCCCCCGAACATAATGCACCCTGATAATGAATGTATACAAGCTATATTTCCGGTCAGGTACCGTCAAAAGGAGGGTGTGTCGTGTTTGGTGGAAGACGGTAGTCATGCGGAAACGTTTGTTTTTTCTTGTGCATGCTTCCCTGGGTGGCTTGTCCCTTGGCAGGGCCTCTCTGCCCTCATAACTCGTCGCTCTTATCCTCTCCTTCTACCCATGCTATCCCTCCCTGCGGGGCCCAGTGTGTCCCTGTCTCTTATACACATCTAGATGTGTATAAGCCCCTTGTCTCTACCCCTACTCATCTTCCTCGCAGTTGCCACTCCTCTCTGCTTCCATGGTCTGCTCTCTCCACTTGTGCCACACAGTCCGCCGCCCTTCCAATTAACTGTGTTTTATCGTGGAATCCGACCTGCTAGTAATGTAGAGATTGTCGTGTAAGTCATGTAGGCAAGTCATGTAGGCTCTGCAGTTGAGGATGAAAGATAAGAAGTGCATCCATCTGTGGCCTCCATCCATCCTTCTATATCTTATTACTCATCCGTCTCTGCCCATCCGTTCATCCATCCACCACCTATCCATTCATCTCTCTCCCAAGCCGTCCAAAATGGTGCACAACCTCCATCCATCGACCTGGTCCGTCCATCCATGCCTCCATCCCTCCATTCATCCCCCCATCCATCCATCCATCCATCCGGTCCCGTCCGATCCCCATCCGATCCCATCTCGTCTCATCTAATCCCATCCGATCCCATCCTATTCCATCCGGTCTCGTCCGATTGTCTGGATCGTGTCCAGATCCCATCTGGTTCCCATCCGATCCCATCCCTCCGTTCCTCGATCCCTCCGTCCCTCCATCCGTCTGTCCGTCCGCTCGTCCGCCCATCCGCCCATCTGGTCCGATCTGATCCTCATCAATCGATCCCATCCTATCTCATCTGGGCGCGTCTGATTGTGTGGATCCCATCTAGATCCCATCCGGATTCCATCTCAGCCCATCCGATCCCATCTGGACTGCCTCCAATCCATCCGATCGCATCAAATCCCGGGATCGCTCGACCCCTTGATTCCTCCCTCCCTCCCTCCCTCCATCCCATCCCATCCCGTTCCATGCCGTCCATCCAAATGCTGGACTGCTGGGGCACTGGTGAAATTATCCTCTTTGTCCTGTCTATACTCCTATCCATCGGGTGTTTGGTTGTGGGCATGTTCTCGGGATCCTCCCCTGGCTCGTGTTCTTCCTATCATTTTTTTTCACTTGACTACATGGGCGTTATGGCTGTATTGATTCAATGTGGGCGGGGAAGGAGAAGACGTGGTGCCATGTGCTACCCTGAAGAAAATGCATGCGTGCCGCGGATTTGCTGGAAGGGGGAGTGGGAGGAGGAGGTGGTGTTTGAAGTGGTATGTACGAGTGATATGTGATGGTAGCAAATAGGACAGCTAGTAGAATTGTAATGGCAATTGTGTTGAGTCTGCTGACAAGCAATGATATATGATGATGACAACATGATGGCCTGTAGGTGGTGAGCATTTTGCTTGTGCGTTGGATTTGTCTTCTACCTTTTTTTTTCCATCTTTTTTCTTGTGCGTTGGATTTGTCTTCTACCTTTTTTTTTCTTTTTTTTTCCTTTCTTTCTTCCCGGTACATCCCTCTCATATCATGTTAAGATAACGC